AGCGGGGGCTCTTCTGCACCTTTGCCCAGCCTCCCTGCCATCCTTTAACCCCAGGAACCTCTCAGTCTACCTCCTCTTGTCTACCTCTGAATCCCCACCTTTAAAGTCAGAACAGGCCAGGCACGGTGGCTCACACCTGTAATCCCAGCACTTTGGGAGGCCTAGGTGAGCGGATCACTTGATGTCAGGGGTTCGAGACCAGCCTGGCCAACGTGGTGAAACCCCATCTCTACTAAAAATACAAAACTTAGCCACGTATGGTGGCATGCACCTGTAGTCCCAGCTACTCGGGAGGCTGAGGCAGGAGAATCGCTTGAACCTGGGAGGCGAAGGTTGCAGTGAGCCGAGATCATCCCACTGCACTCCGGCCTGGACAACAGAGTGAGACTCAGTCTCAAAGTAAATAAATAAATAGATAAAAATAAAGTAGAACACCTGGCTTAACAGGCCCCACTATCCAGATGAGTAAACTGAGGCCCAGAAAGGAAGAATGATCTGCAGGGATATTTCCAGAACCCCTGCTATTAGGAGGCTTCTGTTACCCTCACCTTCAGCCTCTGACTCTCACCTGTGTTACCCAATTCTGATCCCTTCACTCCCACTCAAAAATGGACCCCAGAAAAGCCTTACTTTGTGGTGTACCTGGTTGCCTTTTGGGTTTTCTCTTGACTGCTACAGGCACTGCCCCAGGGCGACCACGACTGGGAAGATGACTAGCCAAGCTTGTGGACTGGCCAGCAAGCCCGGGCTGCCTGAGACGCTTTGAAATGGCTGCCTTCTGGCTTGACCACCCTTCCCACCTGCACAGTCACAGTTCCTCTCCTGCTGGCCTGACTGCAGCTGGCCACCTGACCACAGAGCAGGAGAGGCCACAGCCTCCAGACCCTCCGGAGTCCCCTGGAGGAAGAAGGCTTACCAGAGAGACTCTCTGATGCCTGAGCCAGGTCCCAGCGCTTCTCCCTACGTCCGGGTGTGTTTCCACCGCAAAATGCCGCCACACAATGAGTGACTTTGGCCCTGTATGGGCCAGCGTGTAGTCTGAGGTAACCCTCAACTACCTCCACCACATGTCTGTCCACCTGCATGGATTTGGGGTGAGCGCTGGCCCTGCCCGCTTCTCTCCTCCAGACCAGTTGCCTGAGACGCTGAGCAATGTTCCTTCTAAACCATCCTGAAGCCGCTGGCGATGCTGGGTCCAGGCAGGAAAGGCAGACTTGGCAGCCACCTCTAGCAGCAGAAAGAGACCTTGCGCCCCACTCGTCCAAGTCCCAGGATGGAGCCAATAAGAAAACCAGCGAGCTCTCTTCTAGGGAGCTGTTGGGAGATTTGTTTTTAGTATAAATTACAATAATATTCTGTGTATGTGTATAACTGTGTTCACATTCACAGTGTAAGCTGTGATATAGTTTGGATGTTTGTCCCCTCCGAATCTCATGTTGAACTGTGATCCCCAACACTGGAGGTGGGACTTGGTGGGAGGTGACTGGATAATGGGAGCAGTTGCCTCCTGAATGGTTCGTGCCCTCCCCGAGGTGATGAGTGAGTGCTCTTGAGCTCATTTAAGATCTGGTTGTTTAAAAGTGTGGCACCTCCCTCCCCCACCTCTCTCTCACTCCTGCTCTCACCATGTGACACGCCGGCTCCCCCTTTGCCTTCCACCATGGTTAGAAGCTTCCTGAGGCCCTTGCCAGAAGCAGATGCCAGCCCCACACGTCCTGTACTGCCTGCAGAACCAGAAGCCAAAATAAAGCTCTTTTCTCTCAACTACCCAGCCTCTGGTATCTTTACTGTCGTACCGAAATGGCCTACTACAAGCTGCGTGCTAAGGAAAGCAGGGTGGATGTTAGGCAGGGCCTCCATATGCTTAGGAGTGGCTTCGAAATAGTTCCCCAGCTAGTGGCCTTTCCTAGCTTCAGCAGGTCACAGAGTCCCTTTTGTCATACACCTTCACCACAGAGCAGATGTTCTTGCCAACATGCCTGAAGACCACAGGCCTCAGTCGGCTGCCTTCCTACTGCTACTACTACTACTTTCCTACTGTTACTATTTCCCTACTACTACTATTTCCTATTACTCCTACAACTTTCGTACTACTACTACTTTCCTACTAATACTACTACTTCCTATTGCTACTATTACTTCTTCTTACTACTACTTTCCTACTACTACTACTACTACTACTACTACTTCCTTACCTATTTCCTTACTCTACCTTCCTACTACTACTTTCCTCCTCCTCCTCCTCCTACTTCCTATTACTACTACTTTCCTACTACTACTATGACTTTATATTACTACTACCACTTTCCTACTAATACTACTACTCCCTATTACTACTACTACTACTGCTTCCTATTACTATTACTTTCCTACTACTAATTCCTATTACTACTACTACTTTCCTACTACTACTTCCTATTACTACTACTATTTTCTACTACTACTACTTCCTATTACCACTACTACTATTTTGCTACTACAACTACTTTCTACTACTACTACTACTACTTCCTATTACTACCATTACTACTTCCTACTACTATTTTACTACTACTACTACTTCTACTTTCGTCCTCCTACTACTACTTCCTATTGCTACTACTATATATTATTACCACTACTACTTCCTATTACTACAACTACTTTCTACTACTACTACTACTACTTCCTATTACTGCCATTACTACTTCCTACTACTATTTTCCTACTACTACTTCTACTTTCCTCCTCCTACTACTACTATATATTACTACTACTACTTCCTATTACTACTACTTTCCTATTACTACTACCTATTACTGCAATTACTACTTCCTACTACTACTTTCCTACTATTATTTTCCTACTGCTACTACTACTTTCCTACTACTATTTCCTATTACTACTTCTACTACTGCCTACTACTGCTACGTTCCTACTACTACTACTTCTTCCTACTAATACTTTCTATTACTGCTACTACTACTTTCCTACTAATACTGCTACTTCTTACTACTACTACCACTACTACTACGATTACTTCCTACTACTGCCACCTGCTAACCCTCCCCCACACACCCTGTGGTGGACACAGAGATGAGCCACCCAGCTCTCCCTTCAAGAAACAATGCTCTTCCCAGCATGGGAGCATGGTTGGCATGCAGTAGTAAGCCATCAGCCCCTTCAGGCTCTGCCTCACCACACAGAGTGGTTTCACTTGAGGTCACGCCCTTCCTAGGGCTATCTATACCCAGTGACTAGGCATGGAGAAGTGTGAAGGCCCAGCCATTTTGGCCCATTGAGCAACAACTCTAACAGGCAGTTCTGCTTCCAGAACTCCCACCAAGCTGATCAAGACTGTTGAGCCTGCCTCACAGTTTGACATCTCTTTTTTTTTTTTTTGACAGGGTCTCGGTCTATCACTAATGCTGGAGTGCAGTGGCACGATCTTGGCACACAATAGCCTCTGCCTCCCATGTTCAAGCGATTCTCATGCCTCAGCCCCCTGAGGGTTACAGGTATGTGCCACCACTCCTGTATAATTTTTGCATTTTTTTTAAGTAGTAGAGATGGGGTTTCAACATGTTGGCCAGGCTGGTCTCAAACTCCTGGCCTCAAGTGTTCCCCATGGCAACTAGAGCAGATGCTGGGAAAATGTTCTTGCTGAGGATAATGATGGCTTTCTTAGCCCTTTTCACTTGGAGTACTTCATATACCATACTGGCCTTACACAGGAGAGAGCCACTTTCTCAGGAACTGTGCCTTCCCTTCCATAGCCAGGAGACAGGAGAGTCAACACTCCAGTGACTTCAGGTGGAAAGAAATTATATGTCGTGTATTCTTAGTCCCCTGGAATTTGATTGGAGGCATTAGGGTATTTTTGTGAATTATGTCAAGCATTTGCCTTTAAGCCTGCAGGACATGCTACATAATTTGTGGAGCCTGGTGCAAAATGAAAACGTGAGGTTCCTTGTCCAACAATTATTAAGAATCACAAGACAAGACAGCAGAGAACTAAACCAAGCTCAAGCCCCCTGTGATTGCATTGGTTGCAGGTCCACAAAGCTGACCCTGGGTGCCTATAAATACTGATTCTCCTTACTCTTGGCATAGAGTGTTCTCAGCATTTGCTGGGGTCTCAGTTGACCTCCACACCCCAGAGGAGTAGGTGTGGGACTAGCAGCAATATATAAAATATTTAGTCCAGGCACTGTGGCTCACGCCTGTAATCCCAGCACTTTAGGAGGCTGAGGCAAGAGGATCACCTGAGATCCGGAGTTCGTGACCAGCCTGGCCAACCTGGTGAATCCCTGTCTCTACTAAAAATACAAAAATTAGCCAGGCGTGGTGGCACACGCCTATAATCACAGCTACTCAGGAGGCTGAGACATGAGAATCGCTTGAATCCTGGAGGCAGAGGCTGCAGTGAGATCACGCCACTGCACTCCAGCCTGGGCGACAAAGCAAAACTTCATCTCGTAAAAAAAAAAATTAACCACCATGGGGCAAAGGAACTAACCTCTAACAACAGACTCCACCAGCTGCAGCCATCAGGAGAGCCAAACCACAGCCCCACAGGCAAGATCTCCTTTTCAAACAAGGAAAGTGATTTCAGTGATTTGCACGACATGATAATTTTTAGGTCTCCTGCTTTCCCAGTCCTCCCCTGTAGCATCTGACTTCTGCCTCTAAGTGATTCCATGAGCCTGAGCATTTCTTCTGGAGTGAGTTAAAATAAATGCTTTGTTGGATGTGTATTCTTTTCTGGAAAGATCTAGAGCTCTGGAATCAGACAGACCTAGGATGAAATCATGACTCTGCTTGTCACTGTGTAATCTTGGGCAGGTTACTTAACCTTTCTGAGCCTCCTTTTACCCATCTATAAAACGTGGAGAAAAAGATTTATCCTTTCCAAGTCATTATCCTGTGTAAATAACATAATGTCCCTCAAGAGCCAGGCACACATGGGAGGTCTATATTTGTGTTTTTCTTTTTTAAGATTCAAGTCAAAATTGTTTTACTGTCATTCACATATTTAATAGAAAAGGAAATGCACAAATGGCTCAGGGTTGTATTTAAAAAAGAATCTGGGTTTGTGCAGGTGGGTCTATTTACATCTGGGAGCAGGGTTGTCCCCACATCAGGCGCAGCAGCTGCACTTCTCCGACGCCCCTTTGCAGACGCAGCCCTGGGCACACCTGGCATGCCCATGGGGCAGCAGGAGCAGCAGCTCTTCTTGCAGGAGGTGCATCTGCGCTCTTTGCACTTGCAGGAGCCGGCGCACGTGCAGGAGCCACCAGTGGCGCAGGAGCAGTTGGGGTCCATTTCGAGCCACGATGAGGCTGGAGAGCCCATGTGAGAAGTTGGGAAATTGTCAGGCACGTGGAGCGTGTGGTAGGGAGGTCTATATTTGAAGGTAAAGGTAGGGAAAGAGCAGAGCATCTCCGGGAAGAAAGGGTTCCTCACACAGCCCCGGCGAGCACAGCAGCATCTTGGGAGGGATTCTGGTCCCTACCCCAAGCCTCTACTTTAGCTCAGAGGAGCCACCAGGATGCCTCAGGCCTCTAGACAGTCTGACTGGGGCCATTTTTCTTCCTTCCCTCAGCCAAATTCTGGGTGGATCGTGAATGCAGCAGAGCATCCACTAACCTTGGCTCCCCAGCCCGGCCCTCAGCCAGGCTCAGAAGGTGCTCCTCTTTAACCAGGTAATGTTGGGGGCCTGAAGAAGTCCATTCATGCTCAGTATGTGAAGAGAAATGAGGAATGCAGTTTGGCCCGTTGAAAACTTTAGCTTCACGCCGGTTCATGATGATGTGGCTTGGGGCCTGCTGCTCATATATGCTGGCACAGCTGAGCTCACATGCTCACATCCACACAAGTATACTCTCTGCTCTGTCCACAGTCTTTTCGTTTCTGTTTTTGAGGCAGGGCTTTGTCCAGGCTGGAGTGCAGTGATGGCATGATCATGGCGCACTGCAACCTCTACCTCCTGGGCTCAAGCAATCCTCCCGCCTCAGCCTTCTCCGTAGCTGGGACCACAGTGCATCACTATGCCTGGCTACAAAAATTTTTTGTAGCCTGGGTGCAGCGGCTCACGCCTGTAATCACAACACTTTGGGAGGCTGAGGCGGGTGGATCATCTGAGGTCAGGAGTTCAAGGCCAGCCTGGCCAACATAGTGAAACCCCATCTCTACTAAAACTACAAAAAAGTAGCTGGGCATGGTGGCAGATGCCTAAAATTCCAGCTACTCAGGAGGCCGAGGCAGGAGAATCTCTTGAACCTGGGAGGCAGAGGTTGCAGTGAGCCGAGATCATGCCACCGCACTCCAGCCTGGGCGACAGTGTGATATTCTGTCTCAAAAAAAAATTTTTTTTTGTAGAGGCAATGGGGTCTCACTCTATTGCCCAGGATGTTCTCAAATTCCTGGGTTTAAGCAATCTTCTTGCCTTGGCTTCCCTAAGTATTGGAATTACAAGCCTGAGCCATAGCTCTCGGCCATGTCTGCCTCTCTTTATGACATTGTTGAAAGATGGTTGTGGGCTGTGTGAAAGGGTCAACACACAGGAAGGGGCCACGGCATTTGCAGATATAATGACCCTTCAAAAAGGCAACTTAGATGCAGCAAACCACCATGACATGTGTGTAACTATGTAACAAACCTGCACATTCTGCACATGTATCCCAGAACTTAAAGTATATAAAAAATAAGAATTTTTTTAAAAGGCAACTTAGGCCGGGCATGATAGGTCACACCCATAATCTTAGCACTTCGGGAGGGCATGGTGGGAGAATCGCTTGAGCCCAGAGTTTGAGACCAGCCTGGGTAATATAGCGAGACCCCATCTCTACCGAAAAAAAAAAAAAAAAAACAGCAAGGCATGGTGGTGCATGTGCCTGAAATCCCAGCTCCTCGGGAGGCTGAGGCAGGAGGATTGCTTAAGTCTGAAAGGTTGAGGCAGCAATGAGCTGTGATTTCACCACTGAACTCCAGCCTGGAGCCTGAGTGACAGAGCAAGACCTTGTCTCTAAAAAAAAAACATTATTAAAAAAAAGGTAACAAAGTAATCAAACAAGAAAGGTAGGCTAGGCACCCTGTGCACCCATTAGAATTCTTTTTAGAATCAAACAAGGAGACAGGAACACTCCTGTCCCAATCAAGTGACCAGGGAATAGTGTCAGTCCTGGACAGTGACTCTAGAGGCACTACGCCATTGCAGAGAGCACTGGCTACGGATGCAGACATGTCTGCCCTAGATCCTGCACCAACCCCCCTTCCAAGTCAGAGCTTCAAAGTTATCTATCGCCATGGTGTTCACTGCAATTGAGTAATAAATAAACAAATATTTGCAATGAATAAGCAAATCATTCATTGTAACTGCAAAATATTGTTACCAATCTATATGCCTGTGGCTGAATAAACTACAGTTCATCTACACAATGGAGTGCTGTGCAGCTGTACAAATGAATGAGGAAAAGCTCGCTGACCTGATAAGGAATGATTTGCAGGATACTGTGCTAAGTGAGGGGGAAAAAGCAAGAAGTGAAGCATATTTACAGGATGTTACCTTTCATATAAAAAAGAAGGGGATATAAGAAATCATTTAGGCCAGGCACAGAGGCTCATGCCTGTAATCCCAGCACTTTGGGAAGCCAAGGCAGGTGAATCACTTGAGGTCAGGAGTTTGAGACCAGGCTTCCCAATAAGACAAAACCCCCATTTCTGCTAAAAATACAAAAAGTAGCCAGGCATGGTGGCGCATGCCTGTAATCCCAGCTACTTGGGAGGCTGAGGCAGAAGAATTGCCTGAAGCCAGGAGGCAGCGGTCACAGTGAGCCGAGATCACTCTGGGTGACAGAGTGAGATCCTGTTTCAAAAAAAAAAAAACCAAGGAAATCATTTATATATCTGCTCATTTGTAATGCTCCGGATTGGATGCTGTCAGGAAGTGGGGGTAATTCGATGCTTGAATACATCAATACATCTTATCTACGGAACAGGAGGAATGAAGCATGGCTCAAGCTCTAATTAGTAAAGTCACGGCAGTCACTCATACTCTCATACTAACCGGGATAGGGGGATGTTGTAGTCATTTCTGTTTGAACAATGTTCGTATTGTGGTTTGTGTTCAGCCGTGAGTACAGAGTGGCCTTGTTTGGTCTTGATCTATCTTGGTCACAGAGCAGCTTTGTTTGATGGCGTTCTGAGAGATTGTTTATGTTCAAAGAGATCACAAAGGCCAAGCTACGAGGGCCAAGCCAGCTCTGAGTGACACCAAGGGTGAGGCCTAACTGATAATGCCAAGCCAGTTCCCAGCTGGCATGAGCTGCTTTTCTCTTTCTCAATAGGACAACTGGTGAAATTTGAATAAGGCCTGTAGATTAGTAAATAGCATTTTATCAGTGTTAATTTCTTAGTTTCAATCATTGTACTATGATTATGTAAGATGTTAACAGGAGGGGAAGTTGACCGGGAGCGGTGGCTGACACCTGTAATCCCAACATTTTGAAAGGCCAAGGCAGGGGGATCCCTTGAGCCCAGAAGTTCGAGACCAGCCTGGGCAGCATAGTGAAACCCCACCTCTATTCGTATCAAAAAAAAAAAAAAAAAAAAAAGAGAGAAGTTAGATGAAGGGTATAGAGGAACTCTGTATACTATTCTGGAACTTTTTCATAAGTATAAAATTATTACAAAATAAAAAGTTAAAAAAAAAAAAAACTTAGCGTAGGAAGTAGAAGAGGTTGACTTGCATATCCAGGCTGTGCTGTATAAAACTAAGCGCATATCTCAAAACACTAAAGCATTGCCTGTGTGACGAGATGGCCCAGACAACGCATAGAAATTCAGTAGGATTAAAAGGAAGATTCAGGGCTCCTGTTTAGGTCTTACTCTAGGGTAATGCTCCTCGAGTAGGTGCATCACTGCCTCGTTTTCACTGTTATTGCTCTTTCTCTCCCTTTCTTCTATTTAATCTGCCCAAGTGAATATGCCCATGCTAGAACCAGGACTGCCCCTACCACCCTGGAAAGCAGCAGAGACCTGGACCTTCCACGCGGTCACTTCCAGTTCCTTCCCTTCTACACACACACCACAGTACCTCTTGCAGAGAGGACACCGAGCATGAGTTGAACCTCACCCTGGCCTGGCGCGGTGGCTCACACCTGTAATCCCAGCACTCTGGGAGGCCGAAGCGGTCGGATCACCAGAGGTAAGCAGTTCAAGAACAGCTTGGCTAACATGGTGAAACCCCATCTCTACTAAATATACAAAAATTAGCCGGGCATGGTGGCAGGCACCTGTAATCCCAGCTACTTCAGAGGCTGAGGCCGGAGAACCGCTTGAACCCAGGAGGCAGAGGGTGCGGTCGCACTCCAGCCTGGGCAACACCATCTCAAAAAAAAAAAAGGAGAAGAAAAAGAAACTCACCGCACACCCCACCTCGGCCCATTTAGCTGAATTCACCTTTCTGTCACCTGCTTATACCTGGAGCTTCTCTCTAAAATATCATCCTTTAAAGAGAATTGTGGCAGAGTGAGCTCATATTCCTCTTGTCAAAACAACAAATATTTTAATATTTCATTTTTGTAAGTGATCCTATGCAAGGCAGGCAAAAATCGAGAAAAGAGGCAAGTCATGGAAACTTGGTGAGAATATAATCCTATTGAAAGCAATTTGGCAAAGTTCATCAAGAGCCTCAAAAACTATGGCACACTCTACCCCATAATTCCACTTCCGGGATGCTATCCAAAGGAAGTCATCAAGAATGCAGAGAGATTTATGCACAGACTGGCTGTTAAAAATCATGGATTGAACACTTGTAACCCCTGCTAAAATGAAAGTAAGAGGAATTTTTAATAGGCATAAACTACAAGACAGGAGAAAATGAGAGAGGAGAAAAATAGAAACACAGTTTTGAAAGCTGGAAAGCAAATAACTTAGCAGGACCAAAAAAACTGAATCCTAAACTGGCAGCAAAGAATGCTGAGAACCAACCCGATTTACACCATAAAATCCCTCAAAAGGTTAAGAAATTGATGGCACTAGATCCCTCAGGAAATGAGGGGGAAGAGGTGGCTGAAATCTGGATGAAGCTTAAGACTGTTTTAAGCAGTTGGGTCTGGTTTGCTCTTCCTACTCCCCACAGCCAGGTAATGGTCCTCGAAGACCAACAAAAGATTGGAGGCTCCTTCCCTAGAGAGAGTCAGTGAAAGGTCTTCAGGGACAACAAGGGGATATCGGGGTGGCAAGTCACACTGAAAACTAGGGGATGAAGGGCTTGTGTGCACAGTGACTGTGGGCTCCCCATCCTCACCTGCACAGGATAA